GCCCCGCAGGGTCGCGGGCGCAGCAGCAGCACCTACTCCAGGTCCAGGTTCCCGGAGAAGTCGAACTTGCCTCTTTCTGGCTCGTGGAGGTTCCATGGGACGTAGCTGTGGCAGGAAAGAGAATTACAGGCATGAGCTGTTCATTTATTCCACTTCATCTCCCTAAAGATTAGCGCTTTTTATCCCCAAAACCCGTCATGACGGTTGAAGATGTGTTTCCTAGGTGCACTGTCTTAATGGTGTCAGCACTGGAACCGAGAACTAACTGAGGAGATTTAGGGACCACAGAGAAGCCAGGGCAAGCCACCTCCTGGGTGGGGGGAAACAGGCCGCAGGGGAGCCCGAGCGCGTCCCCCTCCCTCCCAGCCAGAGAAGTCGCTTCAGAGGAAACCCAGTTAAACGGAGGGTAAGAGGAACCCTCAATCATCAGCCCATGTTTGCCGCCGCCTCCAGAATCCCAAACCCAGTGACAGAATGGAGGTTCTTACTCTAAAGAGAAGACAAGGACACGAAGCAGGTCCTTTAAGGGACCCCGCTCAGGAGGCAGAGGCGTGCAGTCACACGTGATAACAGTAAGGATGGCGGCTCCTCTCCTGGACCGGCCCCCCCCGCCCCCGCCTGTGGTGGAGCCTCCTCCCCTGCCAAGCCTGCACAGGTACAGGGAGAGGCTTGCCAGCTTCCAGTTCAGACTCAAGAGATTATACAGATTATCTGGCTTTTATAAAGCAAAATGCTCACCCTGCAGTCTTGCCACCAGCTCCAGGAGCCCTACCACATGAGGACATCCCCCCCCCCAGATCAGAACTCACATTTGCAATAAAAGGACCCTATTAGGTAGTCTTCCTGGAAAATTACACACTTTGTTCAGCTATGCTGTCCTAGCTCAGACCATCCCTGTAACTCTTTTTAGAACTGTCTTCAAAGCCAGTCCACAAACCACCAAGAGGCCCGGGACGGAGGACCTCCCCCAGGACCTCTCCCAGGAAAGCGGCCTGGTGGCTGGGGCGGCTGCACTCACGTGGTCAGGGTGTTCAAGCCGCAGGCCCTCAGCTTCAGCAGGCGGTCCCTCCAGTACTCGCGGGGCACCCGGAAGTAGTGGATGGAGCCCCCAAAGATCCAGAAGGTGGAGTCCTCCAGCATGAAGTTCTGGCCTTTGGCCTGCAGCCCCGAGTGCCGGTGTCTCAGCCACGTGGGGACCAGGCCGCGCCAGCTCCACCTGCAAGGAGAGCAGTCATCGGACGCCCATCCTGGGGGGTGAGCTGGTGTCCAGGCAGTTAGAGTGCAGCCAGAACAGGCTTCCTCTTGCCCGGCGTCCAGCTCCACACCCTCACCCTCCGGCCCATGCACAAGACACACGCGGTGTTTCACACGGAGAATGTGCTCACAGCAGGGAGGACGGGTCACACTGCACGGGGAGGGGTTCTAGGGCTGAGAAGCTGCCTGTGGGTGCTGGGACTCGGGGGGGACTCGGGGGAGGACGCGGCTTCCTATGATGGCCAGCCTGACAAGGCCATCTGACTAAACATCGAAGCAGTGGCTGCTTGGAACAGTACCTCCGAGCCACCTCATGGTCACAGCTGCCGGGCGTGAGGGGCAGAGACCTGGAAAGAGGCACCTGGTTAGGAATGGTGTCAGCTCTTGACCAGATTCCAGGTCTTACTGTGACCTGAAGATGGAGTGTTGGCCTAGGGACAAGCCGGCAGGACAGGGAGCCCCAGGGCGGGTTTGGGGGACGCTGGAAAGTCTTGATCCTGGAAGAAGCACCTCTTGGCATCCAGCGGTTTGGCCATGGGGAGGCCCTCAAACTGACCCTGAGACTCAGGGCTCCAAGAATCCCTCCTTCTCTGCTGCACCCCGTCTCCTGACGGCCAGAGGGAGCAGCGAGAGAGGTGGGAGCAGGAGTTTCCAGCCTGGAGTTTCAGAAAGTTGGAGACACACAACCAGAGCGAGTGTATCCGGTGCGAGAGCAGATTTTCCTTTGCTTTAAAAGCCCCTAAACCACTCTGGTCTTTCCACTCATTTTGAAACAATGGCTAAAACCACACGCTGGTTGAAACAGTCACATGAGAACCAGAAGTCCTGACTCCAGACTCCCCTCCAGGACGGCTCCTCCTGCAGCGCCTCGGGTGGAGGCCCTGGGCGGACCCGCAGGCCCACGGCCAACACCCACTGAGCTTGCAGGCGGGCCCCTCTCCAGCTCTGGGTGCCCCCGTCTCCGCCACCAGCACCAGCACCGGCCTCCTTCTCCCACGTGCCAGTGGCTTCTCCTCCACCTACAAGGCCAAGGGCCTCAGCTCTGACTGTCCACATGCACACTCTGTGCTGTGGAGCAGCCAGGGCCCTGCTGCTCACTGGCCGCAGTCTTTAACGGTTCACACTTCAGCAACTGCATGTGGCACACACACACAGCTGCTTGCACGAGCGTGAGCTCCTCAGAAAGCCCGCTCCCATCCCGCCAAAGCCCCTCCGAGCACCCAGCCCTGGGAGGACCCCGACACCTGCGGCCTCCGCCGCCCAGGCAAGCCGGGGAGGACAGCTCCAGTCCTGAGAGCTGCAGGGAGTCACGCACACAGCCACACGTGCGTGCGTGAGCGCACGC